GGGGGGTGATTTAACGTAAAGTTACTGGACCGGTCAGCGCTTTGGCTTAAATAGGGATTTCTTTTCTAGCTATGGAAGCGGAGGTGTTCAGTCATACACATCTTGTGAATAGAAATGTTCTTATTCATTACAGCACCGTCACCTAAGGAGACCACATCCCCAGGAGCATAGTCATACTACCGAGAAAACCCGGCAGTTCGAGTCCTACCCCCGTCGAGCGACCGACGCCTCCGCCGGCTAACGTTGAATTATTGTTGTTTTTCTTTATTCTCGAAGTGTTGACCCTTGGTTTTGTTGGGAAAAGTGGTTTTACCGTTTTACGTATTAGCAGTTACCTAGTACTGCAGGCATAGTTAGGTAGGCCTCAGTACCAAAACAGGATTCAAGGTGTGTACAAGCCGGATTGATGATCCGGTGTTCGTGCTAAGATAGGGGTTTTTCGTTATCGTGACTAGGTACGCCTTATACCTGAACGCTTTGATAGACTTCAAAGAAAAGGGGGCAAGATAGAGTAAAGGAAAAAAGGGAGGAGAATTGACCTACTTCTCACGAGTGTCGTCTCCGTCTCATCTCATCTAACCTGGTACTAAGGCAACGCAGCCGGGTAAAGCCGATGACTGGTAAAAAAAATAAAAAATAAGCGATCAGCTTCCGTACGAACATGCGCCTCTGGGAATATTTTTCTATAGTCTAAGACGGTCTGGGGACGGCTCGGTGATGGTCTCATTTTAGCTATCATCTAAATCGATGAATCATACCTAATAGCCTGCTGCTAACGATGCCAACTGGTAGCATTTAGTCATGGGATTAGAAGCTGGCAATCATTTAAAGGGCATAGCATCCCATTGCTCCTCACGGTAACTACCTTAACTACCTACCTACCTACCTGCCTCCTGTGCAGACCCTCGCTCCTTCCTATTTCTACCGGAACAAGAAACGTGGGCACTGTACCAGTGCACCAGCGCACCAGTGCATCAGTGCTTCGGTGCATCGCAATTTCATAAGACCAACCGCAATCCGCTCATGAACTCGACGCAATCCGGGAGCATCGACTGCAGCATCAATATGCCTGACTCTCACCAAGATTTCGATGGGCTTATAGAAGCCTACCAAAGAGCCAACACCGCGTGGTGGAAGTTCCATTTTTATCAGGACTATGATTTCGAGTCGGCAAGCTTCGTCGTTCAACTTAGAATCGTATGGTTCAGGTTCCAAGCGTGGTCACTGGTTGTGGGAGACATGAAACATACATGGGGCGATGGCCTTCTCCCAGCACGGCTCTTCAAGCTCATAACTTCACGATTGCATTGCATCGCTGACCTCTTCGAAGACGCGGTACAGCTGGAAGACTCTCATATCTATATCACGTTGAGAGCACGGAGGGTGCGATCGAGGCAGGTCCAGGCTGTGATGTCCAGAATGACCTTGGCGATCCGATCAATTGGCTTCAGACTCGACGTGTTAGAGGAGACAGGCAGCGAGCACATGGACTATGTCCTGCGTTCGAATTCGGATTATATGGATCTCCTGCCCGCTCTGGAAGGCTACATTGACGAGTACGTGCTCCGGCCACAGCCACTCCCTGCCTCTCTTGAGTGTTCCACGAGCCGTCGGCTCCCAGGACGGCGCTTGAGTACACGGAATAACTAACCATTGCTAACTTCATAACTCCTAGGCTCGAAGCACTTCTGACGGAGGCGGCAAGAAGAACGAACACGAGTAGCTGGAATGAAATGACCATCGCTCTAGTGGGAAGTCTTCGCCGAAAAGACATCGACCTTGTCCTGGAAGCACTAGGAGGAGGTGATTCAGCCACATCGAGCTCAATCCGCGCCATCGAGAACCTGATCCAGATGAAGGATGCAAAGCTGCGTCATTCAAGAACGCTACCTATCGGAAAGTGCTGGCGACTGGAAGAATTCGATCTTCCAAGAGACATCCAACTCCAAGATCGAGTATTGGTTGCACCCAAGAAGGATTATGAAGACATCGTCGGGCCAGGGCCTTTCATGTTGGAGAGAAGGCGATACGACCGCGATAGCAGCCCTGAAGGTAAGGAGCCATTGAAAGCCCGCCTGGACCGATTGGCCTTTCTATTAAGTTCTGAAATACTTGATGCAAAGAGTCGGAACTTTATAGTACTTGGATATTGTAATGACCCAGGTTCGCAATCTTGGTGGATGGTTTACCGTTGGCCCTTTTTCTCCTCGATGGAGATGAAGCGTCTAAATCCTCGGAAATATCCGATCATCTCTGATCTGAAGAGCTTGTTCGGGATGGCGGAGTATGAGCCCCCTCTGGAAGTCAGATTTAAACTGGCTCACCTGATTTCCAAGTCACTGGGAGAACTATTCAACAGCGGCTGGACACACCAAAGCTTCGCAAGTGATAACATACTGCTCCCATCATATCCAGATGTAAGAGGCCCAAAATTCGAGGCTTCGATCTTTCCGTCGCCATACTTGGTCGGATTGGAGCTGTGCCAGAGTCCCGGGACCTCGCGAGATGCACAATCTGCAATATATCGCCACCCTGAGTGCGGGGGCAAGTCTGGATCCGGATGGAAAATGCGGTACGACATATACTCGTTCGGTATGGTGCTGTATGAAATCGCCTCATGGGCCCCGCTCCTCCTAAATCGACAGAAGAGAGAAAGTTTCTCTGCCAACAAACGCTACTGGAGGGAGGAAGAGGTACCAGAGCTGAGACACCGAGTCTTCGCAACCGTCGAAAATCAGATGGATTTCCACATGGGATCGACCTTCCAGAAGGCGGTACGATGGTGCCTCACCATGACGGACGATGAGAACGAAGAGGAATGGCACTGTGCCAGGGATTTCCAAAGGCACGTTGTTCAACCTCTTGAGAGATGTGCAGTGTTCGGCGAAGAGTCACGTGGTATCACTTCGAGGTCGCGCCCACTGCTGATTCAGAGGCGTGTTCGAGAGCTGCGAGGGGAGAGCGAAATTGAGAGTCAGGTTCTTACTGAGGATACCCGCATGGAATTTTAGATCCTGCAGATCTTCGGCGTCGTGGTGGTGGTGGTGGTAATGGTGATGGTGATGCGACGCCGGGGTCGAAGAGGTTAGCGAAGGGGACCTATATCATTTGCAGTACAGGAAAAAAAAAAAAAGGCGTCTCGCAGATTGGAACTCAACCATGTACTCGGTATTGGTTGGATCTCTTTCAAGATCTCGAGCGCCTCTCGTATTCTTACCATGGATGGATGAGAATGGGGGGATGATCTCTCCCTACGCGGTGTCTATTTTTCTTATTCTTTGCCGACGGGAGCTTCTGGCGAATCGTTCTCCTTTTCAAAATATATTTATATAGAAAACCTAAAAAAGAAGAAAAAAAAAATAAGAAAAAACAACCCTTTAGGGATTTTTTTTTTAAAAAAGTATCTCCGTAATCTCTGATACCAAAAGTTGTGATTTCTCCTCCACACCAGATTGTCCTGAAGGTGGTAATACCACTATACCACCCACGCCACTGGATACTGAACTGTCGTGGTCTTATGTATTATAGATATGCTGTGAAATTTTTTGGGCGGGAAGGGAGGGTTTTTTTTTTTTTTTTTTTTTTGATCGTTATTGTTCATTGTTGACTTTCCAGCGCACGGCGCGACATGGGGGTTGGAAGGGTTGGAGGTTTATCTACCTACTTGCTTTGGGATACTCATACAGTGACTTACTTTTCATCTCTCTCTCTGTATTGATTGTACTGTGTTGTATTGGACTGTACTGTACGGACGAACTTGATTTTTTTTAATTCGGTTCTCGATTCTGGATTATACTTGTACTTCCATTTTTGGGAATCTACCTCTACCTCCACCTCCACCTCCACCTCCGCCCGACCACCCATCAACCTACCCATCCACATAGCCAGCCAGCCAGACTAACCAGCCCAGCTCAGCTCAGCGGTAGTAGGAAGAAAGAAAGTACGCGACTCCCCATTACGCCTCTCTGGCTCGGTCGGTCGACTGGTTGATAGCATGGCAAAGCATAGCAAATCTCCCAGCCCAGCCCATCCCACCTCACCATTATCTAGGCAATTAGTTTCATTACTTACTTACCTACTTACCTTGTTGAACACCCACCCACACACAGACAGCCACACACACATCACCTCTCCAAAGCCAGCCTCTATACTATACATACACAGCGCCATCCTCCACTCCTACGACGAACCATCAAATAAATATATACATAAATACTTACTTACTTACCTACTTACCTACTTACCCGTGCAGCCAGCCCATCCGTAAGCAAACCTCTCGCGCTCCTGCGTTAGTAAAGACGCGAGCTTTCGCTCGGTGCTGGGACACAGTACCGGTCTTCGATAGGCTCTGAAGCGTCCGCCGTATAACTGTAAGTAAGATTGCATGTACTTACCGAGTATCAAGAGGAGAGGCGTCGTATGTATGTATGTATGTATGTACGTAGGCGGTTGGGCCTCAAATTTCGAGGCCGTTTAATAGTGTTGAGCTCGCCGAGGCAGAGAGTGGCTTGGGCGACGGGGAAGGATAGGCATCGCAAAGCAAAGCATCTCACACGAGAGGCCGCCGTCCGCGACCCTCCCCCCCAGCTAGGAAATGAAGCAGAGCACCGAGATCATTTCACCAAGCGCGGCAAGAAGAGAGCCGAAAAGAAAGCACGAGAGGCAAAAGGCATAGGTAATATTCGCGATTCTGCCATCTATCTCACCGCCGCTACACACCAGTAAAACCCCTTTTCCCCCAAAAATGCAAGGAAGGTATCCTGCTCCAAAAACGAGAAAACGCCTGTCATGAATCATATACCCAGTTCTCTACACGCAACTCCTGAGTAGAGTGGATACTACTTCCGTCCTCTGGCCAGCAATTTCTCACCAAGTTCGGCAACGGCACTGCCCCAACTTGGCTTCGTGACAAGGCCCTTTTCCTCTACAGAAGAACCACAGCGGGAAAGAAGGAACTCTGCCATCTTCGGCTCGTTGAAACGCTCTCCGTAAACGACAGTTGCGTGTGGCGATATCTCGACGTCAATGCCGTTCTCTCCAGACGCACTGGTAAGTTGGAATGCGACTTCGACTTTAGTAGTCAGGGGTCCGATAAGGAGGGACGATTTAACAGAGATGGAGTCGTCCGATGTCTTGCTGACCTCGGTTGGGCAGCTGATGGTAAGGAGGCGGACGTCGTCTACGACCTTTGAAGCCTTGTTCCATGAGACGCTGACAGCGCGGAGGAGATCCTTGATTTGTGTTTTGCTTTGAGGTAGGCCGCGGATATGGTCGCGAATGCTCTGGAGGAAGAAATCTTTCTCGGTGGTCAATGGAAGAGGATTCAGTTCGCGGTTGGCACCGATGTACCACAAGTCTATCCATGAATTGGCGGCCTGCTCCGTAGGGCTGGCCGAATTATTTGCCCGGAACGAGGATGCATCGAAAACGAGTTCAATGTCCTTCCGATATGTCATGGACGTGGTTGTACCCGAAACACCTGTGATTGTCCAGCCATGTTCCCTTTCGATAGCATCGACTTTTTCTATGGTGTGTTAGTTAAGCGCTGGCGAGGAGGGAGGGGAATGCTTACCTTTTAAGGTACTGATCTCGCTCGAAGTCCAGCCTCGGCATTCTTCCCGGATTTTCTCAGCCTCACGGATCTCCTCCAAACATAGTTGCTTACGCTCGATACCAGCCTTGATCTCAGACTCCTTTCCTTTTAACTGTCTGCGTAGATCGGCTATTAGTTGCTTCTTGGCCTCAACATCGGCGTCGACAGCAATTAATTTCTGCCGGGCCTCGCTGAGCTCCTCTTGGTCGCAGTTGGCAATTTCCTCGGCTGCGGACTTCAGGTCAGCTTCCTCAAGCTGGAGCTCCTCAGCTCGGCGAATCAGCTCCGGCAGAACAGCCTCAAGCAATTCTTGTTGGTGATCAAGGATCTCCTCGTCTTCCATCATACCCTCTGCTGACTTGAACAGACCCTCCTTCAATGTCCCTAGAAGGGTCATACGCCATTCATACCACATCCCCTTACTTAGCAGACGTGCATGAGTCTTGACGTTCTTAAGCTGGTTGTCCATCACAACTTTGATATCTGGCGTGGCGGAGATGTATTCCCGGAACAGAGGTGGATTCTCTTCGAAAGTCTCGGTCTCGATTTCCCGTACGGTCTTACGTCCTTCAGAGATATACCTCTTCAGCTCTTGGCAAGCCTGGACGACGTTAGCAAGAAAATGGGTGGTGTGTGGACCCTGACTTACATGTTGGAATAATTCGAGCATCGGAATGGTCGCGGCGCCAGCTGCAACACAATCTTGGAGAGAGATATGCTTGTCTTCTCCAGCGGCTCTTATCGAAGATCGTGGTGCAATTGTGTGTCGTCGCTTCGTTGTTGTCAACTCCATGAATCGAATGCTGGTCATGTTCAAGAAGTCCTGAAGTTGAATTCGGTCATCGCCCAAGCTCTCTTCATCGATTTCGGGCTCTTCCACGGGTGGCTTCTCGACGAGGGGGCCAACCTCCTGGGAAGAAAGGCCCACTTCTACATCTTTGAATCGACCTTGGTGACGAGGTGTGGTGACCGTGGCCTTTTCAGGCGATGCAGTTGTTGGGGTTGCCAACTCTTCCATACTCTTGCGAGAAGCACGTGTCACCCGTCCAGTAGTGGTCTCGGCTTTCGTCGGAGGAGCTTGAAGCTTGACGCTTTTGACGGGACTTCCTTGGAGACCTTTCAGACGCTTGACACCTCCATTGTCTTCCTCTTCTTCCTCCTCGTCATCAAGCTCGACCGGGCGTTTTCCAAGGATACCTTTCGCAGCACCAACATGCAAGCTCTTGCGGCCTCGCAGAGGGTTCTTCTTCTTCGGAGTCAAGCTTTGTATCATCTCCTTCAGATTGAGTGTCGCATCTTTCTCTTCCCCTTGATCGGCCTCGCGCTCCATGATTGCGCGCCCACTTTCGCGTTCGCCTTCTTGTTCTCGTTCTTTGTCAAGTTCTGCTTCCATAACACGAGGATCCTCAAAACGAACCGCTGGAATGGCCTGCACAAGTTGACTGGGAACAAAAGACCGGGCTTGGTTCCCAATTGAGCCACGACGATCAAGCATCGCTGCAACCCGTGGTGACCCGAGCCCAGTCTTATCAAGACCAATACCAGAAGATCGTCTTGGTTGAGGAGTGAGAATGAAGGTTGGAGTCGCAGCCCCAGTGGTTTTATCTTTCTGGAAGAGCATGTTGGGTGTAGACAGTTGTTTTGATTTTCCGGAAAGGGGGGTTGAAGCCGCAGCATTGATTTCGGCCTTGAAGAGTAGCTTAGGCGACGCGGTACGCATGACAACATTTTTGGAGGGAGGGGTTTTGCTAGGAGTGTTTGCGTAGGCAGGCTTTGGGGTAATCTGCTTTAGTGGAGTCGCTGGCTTCTTGATTGGTGTACCACCAATGCTGAGCCCTGACTTTGGGGTACTTGACTGTTGTGCTTCTGCACTGCGGCGTGATCCTTTGCCTCTGAAGCCCTCTAGACTGGGACTTCCAGTCTCAGATGCCACTGTATGACTTGGTACAGGAATCTTTGGAGGCGAATTTGATGGCAGTTCTGCTCGGAATGGGGAGCTGCCAAAATCTGTCTCCATCTCCATAGTCTTCTTAGCTTGCAACCGACTTCCGGTGCTTCGTTGAGGAGGAAGAATACTACCAAGAGCCATGGTCATTTCCATGCCGACTGTAGCATCTTGCTCCGAAGTAGCCTCTGGGATAGAAGGCATGATGCCGCCCATCGCAACAGTCATATCCATCGTCTCATCCTCACTAGCAGACTCAAGGCTCCGTCGACTTGACTTGTTCTGGGCCATCTGAGTCGATGCCATGGAAAGACGTCTGCCAGGCTTGTTTGATTGATTAATGCTTGAGAGGACACCACCAACAACAGACGTAAATTCCATGGTCATGTCTTCATCATTGGAGGGTATATGCTCGTCTCGACTCGGCTGTATGCCTCCCATAGCCATAGTGAACTCCATAGTCTCGTCTCCTAGTGAGGTTTCTTCAGCAGATGATCTTCGACGCGTACTCTGACGGCGATTCGAGGGCATAGATTTTCGTCTTGATGCGGAGACCTTTGGTGCAGGGTTCGAGATGATACCCCCAAAGGCCCGGGTTACATCCATAGACATCTCATCCTCATCTTGCTTTGGCTCTGGCTCTGGTTGTTTACCGGGAAGAATTCGACCCATAGGCCTAGTCATGTCCATGGTGATATCCATAGTCATGTCTTCCCCATCAGATTGCGCGACCTTTTGCTGGGCTCCCGCCTTAAATGCAGGAGAGAATGGATTCACATTCTCTTGGTCCATCTGGGGGTCGAGATATTGGACTGCAGTCTTTTTCGACCAAGGTGCGAAGGATGCAACTACTTCCTCCTCCTCTTTCTCCTCCACAGGGCCGGGGTCGCCATGTTCGTCAAAATCGATACCTTGGGTACCCGCTTGACGAGCAGCTTCTTTCAAAGCCTCGTCCAGTCGGGTTGTACCCGTACTATCTTGAGAGACTGCGGAAGCCATCGACATGTTGGTCGTCTCGCCCCCGTCTAAGCTCATCATTGTCCCATCTTCATCCGCAGAATCGCTGATTGAGCCATCATCGACGATCTCCTCGGCTTCACCATTCGAGCTAACACTAAGCGGGCTTGAAGAAAAGCCCTCATCGTCTGGGTTGTTGAAATTCATAGGAGGAATTACGGAACTTCTTCGCCGCTTCTTCTGATGCAGATCTCTCTGCTGGGCAGGACTAGCAGTAACGGTGTTCTCCTCGATTTGCTCCGGCGGGGTAGAGGGTGTTTCCACAGGATCAGAACTGAGGGCACCTGGGTTTCGGGCATGGGGCGACACTTCAGTCCCCCCAGACATAGATGATGCGCGCCGAGTGGAATTGGTCGCATTGGAAGATGTGGTAGAATCCTGGTACTCGACGACAACATCCCAGGTATGAAGCGTGGCTTCTGGCGCAAACGACACTCTGCGATTGGCAAGCGACTTACGTCGAGCATCTCTGCGGGATATAATTTCCTTCTCGAGCTCTTTCCTCTCGATTTCCTCGCGCTCCCGTGCCGCAGCTTGTTGTTCTTCCTCGGTCCGCAATGTGACTCTGGTCTCGTTGACAGCAGGACTACCAGCGACTTCAAAAGGGTTTGAAAGCTTCTCGGTGCCTGATATAGTCGGGCCGGGGGTAGCAAGATCAAAGTCGATCAGGTTCTCAGTCTTCTGCAGAGATGGCGGGGTTGCTTTCTTCGGACTTCCTTTACGCGTCGAGATGTGCGCCGGGATTTCCCTGAGCGGCGGCATTGTAGGTTTCAGGATTGATCTCGGGGGAGGATGCGAAATAGTTGCGAGAGACTTCGTACATGTTAGCCAATGTACTCCGGTTTGGACATCAAGAATTATGTACCTTGCGCCTGTTTCCACTGCTATCCTTCAGAGCATCCAGCCCACCCGGCCCAATACTTTTGCTGCGCGATTTCTTCGACGGCTTTTCAATCGGCACTGCTCTCTTTCCTCCTGCGAGAGCTCCAAGATCCGCCGTCATGTTTTCCTGGTCCATACTTTGCGCCGACGGGACGTGGGCTAAGGACTTTCTCGATTTCGGTCGCGTCGCCGGAAGGGTGACATCTTGTGAAGCCATGATTGAGAAAGGAGTTACAGCTCGGGTATGGGGTGCGGTTTTCCGATCCAGCTGTTCATGCAATCGAGGGCCGTTGGGGGGCGATCATGGTCCGCGAAAAAACCGTGATCCGTTGCTGGGCTTCCACAGTCACGTAAACAAACAGAGCGTGTCCGAGTCAGGCATAAATTAAGGCACCAGTAACAGGATCGAGCCACGACGAGCCACAAGCTACGCCACACTGCGCTCGCTATTGGGAGTGGCATAATCACGTGTCCCACACTCTAAGCGAACGAAAACTCCACCACCCGCACACGAACCCAAGGTCTAAGGAAAAGATTCAGACACCTCGACTTCACGACAAACCGCAACCATGGCCACCGAATTGACCGTCCAGAGCGAGCGCGCTTTCCAGAAGCAACCACACATCTTCTTGAACTCGAAGTCCAAGTCGAAGTCCACCGCCGTCGGAAAGGGAGGACGAAGATGGTACAAGGACGTTGGGCTGGGATTCCGCACACCCAAGACCGCGATTGAGGGAAGCTACATCGGTACGTGGAATCTGCGGCGCTGGGAAGTGGGAGAGTCCGTGGCATTTCTGGCCTGTGGGAGGATGCGACAGGGCGATTGAACGCGATCGGAACACAGCAACGAGGTGGCAGGGAGACGAGCCGATGCGCAAATATTCGCTGGAAAGAGAAGAGACATACTGACTCTCACCCACCAGACAAGAAGTGCCCCTTCACCGGTCTCGTCTCCATCCGTGGTCGTATCCTGACCGGAACCGTGGTCTCCACCAAGATGCACCGAACCCTCATCATCCGCAGAGAATACCTGCACTTCATCCCAAAATACGCCCGTTACGAGAAGAGACACAAGAACCTTGCTGCGCACGTCTCGCCGGCTTTCCGTGTTGAGGATGGAGATCAGGTCACCGTTGGACAATGCAGACCTTTGAGCAAGACAGTACGTACTCGACCACAATCTCCCCAGATCTGGACCCGGTGTTTCTCCCTCTTGGCGGATGCGAAGCTCCGTTAAGGCTTTTACGGGCAACAACGCTGACAAATTATGTTACAGGTCCGATTCAACGTTCTCCGTGTTCTTCCCCGAACTGGCAAGGCTGTTAAGCAGTTCTCCAAGTTTTAGGCGCATTTTCGATGGGGTTTTGACATGGGCATGGGGTTTGTTCGCTGCATTCAGGGCAAAGGGTTGTCAGATACACGCTTTGCAGAAGCCGGCCGGAAAAGAATTGTGCATAGCTCCTGAAAGTAATGCATGAAACCATTCTCTAAACTTGTTCCTTTCTTTTTTGGTAAGGTCTCTGGTGCTTCTGTATATGGGGTGGGTGGCTCATCAGCAACGAATGGAGCATCTGGTGGAGGCGATGCAGTCAGTGTATCAAATGCGACCTACATTCTATTTTTAGCACTCCCTCCTGTGACGAAAAAGGCCAAAGCCTTCGCTCCAAATATGTCTGGTCAAAATTAAGGGACATCATTACCACGCTGAGATCACGACTCTAAACCAGCTCCAAATATGCCTGGCCAAAATTAAGGGCCATCAATTCCCACGCTGAGATCACGAGATCTCCACCAGCCCTGTCCCCATCCACCTCCTCGCCTACGGACGTCAGAGTCGAATCTGGACAGTCACTCCGGCCCTGCAGCCCTGCAGGCCTGCAGGCCATCGCAGCACGGATATGACCGACGACGGGCATCGCACCTCTCAAGATGTGATCAACCACCACCCACGCACCCACGCACGCACCCAAACAACAACAACAACAACAACGACGACGACGACCAAAATAGAAATAGTTCAACCGCCCATGCCTACCTAGGTACCTGGTTGAATAGGATGGATGGTTCTGTCTCATGCGCGTTGGGATGGCTCGCTGGGAGTACCGGTACCGGTACCGGTAGTACACTGTGGTGAGGGGGAGGATAACCTGAGCTCGGGCGCTCGCTGTAGGAGTCAATGTTTGCGGGCAGGCGGGCGGGCAGGCATAGATGAGATGAGATGAGATGAGATGAGATGAGACGTGATGGGATGAGATGGGATGAGATGGGATGAGATGGGATGAGATGGGATGAGACGAGACGTAAAGTGAAGTGAAGTGAAGTGAGGCCAAATTCGCAGGCAGTCAGTCTATATCTAGGAATACAAAAGAGGCCTTTAAAAGTGAATGAGATGGATGTCAGATGTACTGAGCGACGTGACCTAGGTAGGTAGGTAGGTAGGTAGGTGCCTTGCTTTTTTTTTTTTTCCTTTACTTATCTCTCTATCGAGTGCGGTTGTTGTAACCGTCGGCGTTGTAGGTTGTAATTAATGATTGAAGGGTGGTGGTTGTGGTTATGAATAGGTAGGTAGGTAGGTAGGTAGGTAGGTACCTTCTCGTTTACTCTGTAGGTACCTAGGTGCTTGCTGCACCCTTTTTTTTTTTTTTTTTGTTTGTTTGTTTCGGAGAGTACAGATTAGTATGGTGTTTTGAAATATGGTATAGCTTTTGCAGATATATTTTCAGTATTGGGTTAGTGTCAAGTAGGTACTGAGTTAGTGTCAAGTAGGTATTAAGTAGGTATTGAATAGGTATTAAATAGGTATTAAGCAAGTACTAAGTAAGTACTAAATAGGTATTAAATAGGTATCAAGTGAGTATCAAGTAGGTATCAAGCAAGTGTCACGTATTGAGGATGCTAAGCTGAGTTGCGTCTGATTCTCACGTCTACCATAACAACCGGCAAGCAGTTCAAAACAAAGCTGTCTCGTCGTAGTTACACCACCAATCTATAACCATGACCATACGTACATACTCTTGTTTGAAGGGAACAAGAATGTGTTTATATATTTGTAAATGAAGAGCGAAAGATATTTGCAGGTTGAACTTGAATTGTGGAGATGCGGCACCGGTACTTCTCTTATTTCACGCAGTAGGAGATCTAACAGGGTCGTATGCAGAAAGTAGCAAGCAGCAAGTAGCAGCAAGCAGCCTTAGGATATAATAATTGTTATTGTCTATCTCGCAATCATTCGAGCAGCTTCTTCTCCCGTTAAGGATATAGCTGAGTTGGGGATTGATGTATTTTATAGTAGCGCCAAAGGGGTGATAAGAGAGAAGAGAGAAGAGAAAAGAAGAGAAGAGAACAGAAGTGCAGAGAGGAGAAGTGAAGAGATGAGACAATAATAAGACAGTCAAGAACAGAAGAGAAAAGAGGAGAAGCAGAGGAGAAAAGGAGAGGTAAGACCAGAGCAGGTGAAACAAGAAGACGGTGAAAGGACAAGAAAGGAGACAAGAGAAGAGGATACCAAGGCAAGAGCCCGCCTCGGCCATCTATCTTCTCTCCCCGTATCGGATCGCATCTCCTCTCATCTCCTTGTCCCTCTCCGCACACCGGGCTTGTACCTCTTGCCCCGGCCGCACACCTATTCGCGTTCGCGTTCGCTTTCGCGTCATCAATCAAGAAAGCAAGTCCAAGTCCACATCCCAGCATTGATACCTATAGCAAGCACCCTATCCACGCCAACCCAGTCTCACGGAGCCGAGGCGACTCTCTCCCTCTCCGTCAATCAATACAATACAGTACCTACAGATACGTCATCTCTTCTCTCTCTCTTCTCTCTCTCTCTCTTTCTCTCAAACTCCCTCAAACTCTCAAACTCTCACTCATTTGGACCCTTGAGAAAGACGCACGGGTATGATGCAAGTACGTAGGTAGTACTTAGTAGCATGGTCCCTAGGTGAGTGAGTAAAGTAAGTATGTACGTAGTACTAACTAGACTTTTCTCACCTTCCGAACGGCACTACTACCACATACAGTAAGTGAGTCCGTCGACGTGTACTTTTTAAACCTTTCCGTAGTCTGTAGTACTACTACGTAGTACGTACACTCTCGCTCGTGTGGAGAAAAAGTGGGTCATCACCAGCACATCACAACTCCACTCAGCACATCAGATTACCAACTCCGCACAGCCGCGCACCGCACATCTCAGCACGGTACCAAGAAAACACGGCCATTGGCCAGATAGGGGGGGCTGTGTGGGGTGGGGGTCGAGAGGGCAAACGGACCGACTAAACAACCCACTCACTCACTCACTCACTCACTCACTCACTCACTCACTCACTCACTCAACCAACCAACCATGCCAAAACTCTCGTCCGGAACCGCTCTGAATTCTTAGTACGGCCTGAACAGGAAGGAAAATAAATAAATAAAAAAACAAAATAGATGAAACGAAAAGATTAAGAATAAATAAATAAAAATACATTAACAAATAAATAAAATCTATGATTCAATCAATCATCTTCTTTTCTTTGCGCGCGGATCGTGGGAAATTCGGTTTTTCGTGTGATTGGGCGCAATGTGGGGGTTTGGTGCATCTGGGCCTCGTCGAATGAATCGTGGGGTTTTTGACTTGGAATTTGCTTGTGCCGAAGCAGACCTGCCATGCGCACATTGCACTTTCGAGTATTACCAGTAGAACCCTTTACCGCACGACAGATTTTGCATTTGTTGTGAAAGTCAACACACGAACCGACGGACCCCGCCACCGAACTGACCAACCGCGGCTGCGGACGCTCGAGCCTGAGTTTCCCACTCAGGGGGGGGGAAGAGGTTGCAAGGAAAAGGGCGCATCCGGCATTCTGACTGGCCGGTCGATCTGCATATCAATTAATCAGTCAATCAATGTTTATTCTCAAGAGATTCAACAAGCCGTCGCGAAGTTGTGTATGCCAGGCTATCGAGTCAACCGACTACCTCCTCCTGTGCATCGATTCAATCGTTCATTTATTCATTAATACTTATTATAAGAAGTTTGGCCGTTGGGGGGAATCTGACGGATTAAAATAGAGATAGAAGTAAAGGAGCAATATGGAAAGAGAAATGGAACCCGTGAGATTTCCCCGGGAGGAACATGGAGAGATTGTGCGACACAGGCGCGAAAAAAAGAATTGTCATTTCCCAAAGTTCCGCCGTATCTTCGCTTGTAGCTGCTGCCCAATCTTCTCGTTCCAGCCGAACGTCAGCGCGTTCGCGAAGCCGATGAACTGCGTACTCGACTGTGCAAACTCGAGGAAGCGCGATTTGCCGCCCGAGGCCTGCGTGATGCGCATAGCGATGCCCGGGATCCACAGCACGATCCAGAAGATGGGGTAGGCGTGCAGCAGCATCGCGCGCTGGATCGACAGCTGGTGGTCCCTCTTGCCCTGCGAGCGTAGGATGGCCACGTTCTGCGGGTCCGGCGGCGGCCGGGTGATGGCGCCGCGCAGCCGGTCCATCTTGGTCTGGTAAGGCGTCGGGCTCGGCGGGAGGGGGACGATCTCCTCGAACGTGTTCTCGGAGCAGCGGCAGACATGGCCGTCGCCGCGGGTTGAAGAGGACGAGGGCGCGGAGCCGTCGGAGGTAGCTGGTGGGAGGGCGGGTTAGCAAAGATACAATATGCATGTCACAGCCCGGGAGCGTTACGTACTCGTCTGCATCTCGATATCATAGCCCATCTTCTCGTCCAGATTCCGCTTGTTCGCCTCCCGCCAGCCCTGCACCTCCTCGGATTGCACCATCTGGCTCATCATACGCGCGTGGCGACGGATGTGGATCTGGATATAGATGCACATGCAGAGGACGGCGGCGATGATGGCAAACCGCCAGCCGTGGGTGAGGACGTAGCGCAGGTAGGTGGGTTCCTGCTTGAGCCAGCACCAGTTGCTCGACGCCGGTACGTATAGGCCTTCAATCAGCCCAATGCAGCCTGGAACGGGAAGAGCAGCGTTAGCTAAGTGGTAGAGTGGTAGAGGTGGACAGTTGTACAGTTGTACAGTTGTACAGCTGTACAGTTGCTGTAGTCGCCGCGGAGAGAAGAGCGCGACTTACTGGTGATGACGGGCAGGAGCCACGGTGTCAGGCAGCTCAGCATAATTTGTCCCAGCGAGAGTTCGCGGCTCGAGTTGTTGGACGTCACGATCCACATGGTGATCATGGTGATGATGAGAATGGAAAAGTCGACCGCCTGGTCCTCGCGTTAGCTCCCACGCATCTACCATCACCGCTAAAAAACACCAGAACATCCAAACACCCCACCACACCCCACCACAACACTCACCTGTATAGAAAGCTGCCCGACGAATCCATTGAGTGTGCATGCATTACCCGCCTTCAAGCGCTCGTTCTTGATGACCACCCACAACCCGGAACTGCTATTATTCACAGCATTGATAAGATCTGTCTTCTCTTAGCTCTCCGTCTGTCTCTCTCTCTCTCTGTCTCTCTCTCTCTCTCTCTCTCTCTCTCTCTCTCTCTCTCTCTCTCTCTCTCTCTCTCTCTCTCT